AGAAACCAGAACTACAAAAGAATGTGAAGTTCCAGGAAACCCTTTGCTGCATTTTTATTTCCTCTGTCCCATTTGCCAAGCAATGGCCTGGCTTACATAGCCTCAGAGGACTGGGTGAGCCCAGCTTTCTATAGACTGAAAATCCCAAACTGAAAAGACAAAACTAACTTTTGAGGGCAGCATTGCGCAGAGCTAATCCAGGTGGGGATCTGACCTGTTGTCATCAAGCTTTCAGCCTCTCCAGAGCCTCATTTTGCCTTCAGCAGCCTGATGTGCTCCCTGCTGGACTGGTACCAGGAACCCACTGCTCTGCTAAACCTGAAGAACAGATTTTTAGCAGCAAATTAAATCACTTGGGCACAAACCCAGCCTAACCTGTTTCACAGCTTCCAGGCAGGTGGCTTGCATTTTATTAGCCCATTGCTCAGGTAGAGTTGGCTTTCCATGCCAGTACTGACCATACGGACATGTCATGTTTCTTTGTCCTTGGATGGAGCACAGGGAATTCCTCCTCTGAAAAGAAAAAATCACATCGGAAAAGCACCTGCGGGCTCATCACCGTGAAAGCCAAGAAAAAGAATGGGAGAAGAGTGGGATGGAGAAGCTGTAACTGCTTTTCTCTCTGTCTAGAAACCTCACTATGGTCCGACTCAAAACCCTTGAAGTCAGCAAGAGTTTTTGCATTGACTGCAGGAGGCTTTGTATCAAAATTTGATTTGGGAAGGAAGAATTGCAGCTATCAAGGGCTTTCATTAAAGTAAAACAGTGATTACAGAACAAGAGCTAGAGTTAACAAAAGAACAAATGATGGTGCACTGCTTGGCGAGACACGTATGCCTATTCTGCACAATAAGTTGTGCAGTAGACACTTCCCTTCCAGGTTGTTTGGATGCTTTTACTTTATTTTAATTTGTCTCAAGGCTTATTAGCAGGAGAACGATGTAAATTCAGCAAGCGATCTCCCAGAGATGCACATAGAGAGTGTAAAATATGTCCATTCAGTAAGTCCAAAAGCTAGTCAAATATCCCCTCCCACTTTTTTACAACACTGCAAATATTTTCTGAGTTCTTGATTGAAATATATGTAATTATGCTGGTTTTAGTCTGAATTGATACTCCTCCACATATTCTGCACACACGGCTGTTTCTACACTCTTCAGAGGAACACTACTGTCAAACATTTTCAGAAGCAGAGAGTGGACACGGTCCTAAACAAACACCGATTCCAACAAACTGGTGTTGAACGAGGCTGATGGAGAGAAGGAGTGTTTGCCTTTTTGTATCGCAGACCCTGGGAAATGTCTGAGGAGCCTTTATTATCCCCATCGCAGTAGGCAGCGCAGATGGATCTGTGAGATGGAAGGCCATGAACAAAACGCACATCAATATTGTGGAGCTGCCCAAGGCCAAAGAATAACTCACAGCAGCTTTACCAGACCTGCTGGATTTACTGCTTGTTTCTCTATCCCTTCTGTATGAAATTCCTTTGGATTGTATCTGTTGCATGTCACGACCAGAATGTCCACATGAAAACTGACTCTCCTGGCTCGCAGCTTCACATCCACTTAGTCTTCCTTTCAGAGAGTTACAGCCCTGAACTGGAAACACCAGCAGAAAGCTTCTTGGAGATTTCAGCCCATTAGTTTAAAGGTAGAGTTAAGTTGAATTGAAACTCCCATTTTAGTGGCTCGTTAAGTAAACCTAGGGGTGCCAAAAAAGGCACAGACCACAGCAGTGTAAAAACAACAACAAATACCCCTTTTGCCCCATGCTTTAGCCACCAGCCAGCATGTTTTCTAACATATGAAGTGAGTTTTTTTTAATAAACAGCTGTGTCTGATCTGAAGTAATGGCCACAAGACTATTTTCCTGCTAATTCCCATACTCATTTAGATTAATGTCTAAAATATTTGTTTGTTTGTTTTTAATGTGTCATAATTAGTAACATTTTTTTCAGACTGACCTATTGTCCCTACTGAAACATTTCTCTTTGTTTTCTCCCCTGTAATACTTTAGAAGGGAGACGATTTCTTGAAACAATTACCTAGGGTTAATAACACGGAGCCCAAGAACACTTACCCCCTCCACAGCTGCAGGAGACTGGGGTTTAACTGAGGGACATGCAGCACCCTGAACACAAACAGGCCCAAATAGTCCATTCAGGACCATTCTGATTTTCCTGAGTTTCCACGGATGCCTTCTCCATCAAGTTTTGTTTGTCCTGGTACTTTGTGACCCCAGGAGGAGGGAAGTTGCTATTACAATCATGAAAGGATCAAAAGATACAGCCCAACTCCAATTCAAGCCAAGTCTTTATGCCAGGCCCCTGTTCTGATCCCAGGGCAGTCACACAGGAGGACTGGCAGCCTAAAAACCTGCTCAAAATCCCTGACTTCAGTCTGAACCACTTTTCCATTTGTGGCACAGAAAGAAATAAAGACACGTAGGCTCTTCCCTCCCTCCTTGAGTTAACCCCGTATCCATCCTCCCTCTGAGAAACAACCACATTTCCAAACACGGACAATGATAGTCTGCAAAATGCGGATTCTGCACATTTTGCCAAATATCCCAACTTACACGTCAGCATAATGGCTTTCCTTTTCTCAGGAAAAGATTCTGATAGCCCAGATCAATCTGTTCACAAAGGTTAAGAGAACTTCTCTTTAGCCCCTTACCAAAATTATCTCGGTCATCAGATCTACAGTAGAAATTGGCTTGTGCCTAGTGAATTTGCAGAGGTTGCTTTTTTTCGCATGTGTGGTTTGTTTTATACCTCGCTTATATAACACTTATTTATCACAGCCACACAGGCTAATTCATGTATATGTATTTAGTATAAAAGCATTTGAATTAATGTTCCCAGCTTGTTTACTTTGAAGGACTGAATGCCCCCTCAGGAAGACATATTGATCTTGAAGGGGGCCATTCTCTGATGAACACTGGTTCCTGCAATATTTATGGCATCTGAAGCCTTTTCTCTACTCTTGATCTTTTGAAAAGAGATCCCGAAGGAGGGTGACAAAGCTTGGAGAGGGGAGGAGGGAGAAGAAGTACAAGAGGGGTCCCTTTGCTCCGAGTGTAATGTCGAAATGTAAACAGGACGGTGATCAAGGACTGTGTCTGTTTCTAAATTAAGCATTTAGAATGTATATTAATGAACGTGAGAGGAAAAAACCACTGAGCCAATATAGAGAATGCTAGAATGGGAAAAAAAAAAAAGATCTGCAGCTTTTCTCAGTTTTGCAGCTCAATTCTGCTAATTTAGGCCGTATAAACTGTGATTTTGAGGCCAGCCAAAAGAACTGATGTCAGTGGAAACATCAGAAAGTAACCTCTTCACAGTCTAGCACTTGCCATCTTTATAATTACTCCACATGGCCATATTTATTATTAAAAATACTGCTTGTTCTTTCTAAGATTCTGCTTCCTCACCATAAACTGGGGTAGTTTCTCCCCCTTCTAGCCCTGGGCTACCTGTAAATCTCCAGGTGCAGGAGCAGGTACTTGTTTAGAGCATGCCTAGCAAACGGGATCTTCTTTCTCAGGTAAAGCCATTTTATTGCATTGCAGAGGATGGACAACAGACAGGCAGATCTTGCCCAAATTCCACTGAGGAGCTATTATCCCCATTCCTTTCAATCCCTCGATGAGCAGGAAACATCCAGTGTCTTGTGGCTCAGGAGAAACCAGTGCTGGTGACTGCAGCTATATCCCAAATTCATTTTACCCTCTTTGTGGCTATAAACAAGCCATAGAGCAGGGGTGGTTGAAGACATCAGATGGGACCACTACTTCTCTCTGAGTCTCAGCCCACGTGGACAGGGAGCAAAGGCCAAGGCAGAGAGCAAATGGCTTTGCTGCTGGGATGCTCCCATCCATCCCCTCCTCCATGCTTTTAATTCTCTTTATCACATGCTGTACACAGCCCAACTTGTATGTCCAAGTGTGGATATCCAAGTGTGCCTGCCACACTTGGATATCTTGGAGTGTTGGAGTGTTACCAGCCTCCCCCCTTTGTGTTCTCATGGAAAGGTACAGGCAATAAGCAGAAAACCACATCTTTCTCCCATTTCTGAAGGATGTGCCATAATATCCTGCAAAACAGGTAATAAGCAGAGTCACTTGCCCTGCTCTGTTGAGTGGAAGAGGTCTGTGAGGCTGCCGACTTTGAGCTGTGCCTCCTCTCTGTATTTTGTCAGGAAAATCCACGCTAACTTTCAGAAACCATGGTTGAGCCAGGCTGTGAAACAATGAGGCCAGGGGCCAAGGTTACATTGTAAAAGATGCATTTTTCACTCAAAGAGCTTTGTTGCACCTAGCTAAAAAGAATTTGATGGAAGATTTGATCAAAACAAATTATTCATAGGTGCAATGTGATGAGAAAAGTAAAGATTCAGGGATTAAAAAAAGTGGGGGAAGGGGTGGATTTTAAAAGCATTAGCTTCAAAATGGGTCTGGCAAGTTCTGATTCCTCAGAAGTGACCTGCATTTGAAACTTCCTTGCAGGGACAGTGGATGCAGATGGGATTTCTAAAGAGGACAATAAGGGAGCGATAGAGGTTTAGAGCATCAAGAGCAGGATAAAGAAGTTGATGATGACACATATGCTCTTGCTAGCACCTTTTGCACACAATACGAAGGAGATTCATCTCCCTGCTATATTAAGATGAGCTACTGAAAGGAAATTTCTCCCCATAGACTCAGTCAGTGGAATGGACTGCCCCAAGGTATTTTGGTGGCCAAGAGCAAAATCTTTTTAAAAAGCCGTTACAAAAACCATTACTCATTTCTCTGCAGTTAGAGCCTGTGTGGAATATATATCCTCAGCAACAAACCTCCTGGTGAGTCTTATTAAGAAAATCCCTCTAAATTAGGCAACCAGAAGTGTCAGTTGTCTCGGGCATCCCACACCAACCTGAAGCTCTGCATTGCCGCAGCTGTTCCTCTGCTCCCCAGGGGCTGTAACACCACATATCCCAGTAAAGAAAGGTCGCTCTCACCTGGGTGAAACACTCCAGATCTCTGCGGCTGCAGGATGGGGTGACCAGGAACCAGAAGCTGCAGAGGCACAGCCTGCTGCCTATCAATGCCAGCATCAGCCCCCTCTCTGCTTTCAGTGGGTTTCTGCATTCATTTTGTTCAGACGTCGAGATCTGGTAGGGTTGTGGTGTTCTGTCAAGATTTCTACCTGAAAAATTAAAATAACCAGTTTTAGGTTTGCTTTGTGTTTAGTTACTTGTTGCAGCTTGTCACCAAAGCTCACGCCTCTCTCAGCTGTGTGAGGCACATCCCTGGCTCAGTCGCGCGGAAGAAAGAAGTCGAAGCGCTTCTTTCATCCAAATATTTGCTTTAAAGGGAGATCAGAAAACTTAACCATGGCAATGACTCTACAGGAGAGGTGGGAAATCCAGTGTTCATCAAGTAGTGCAGTGCTGAAAAGAGAAACGGACATTCAAGCTCATTTCACTACATAATGTTATTAGTTATATGAAATTAGACTGTCAAATACAGCTTTATAAAACGCAAGAGGGCAAGGAGGAGAATGAACACACAGGGGACAAATCACTGTCACTCACAACGGAGTGCCTGGCAGACTAAGAATTAAGTTCACTCCTCAGGGCAAGCCATCCCCAGCTGTTATAAATACATTTTAATGCCCCTGTCAGAATGCTGAAAGAGTGCGGCAGCCTTCCCCAGCGCGGGATGTCAGGTGTTTTCTGTCATTCAGAGAGCTTGAAAAAGCCACATTTTGATGGGGGCTTTGTCACTGTTCCCTCTAGCAGTGCTAAGGCGGCTTCTCCAGTGGTCAGACAGGGCGGGTGGTGGTTTGAGAGCAGGCACGGGCTGCTGCCAGGCTCCACCCTGCGCTGCTAAGGCAGGCAATGAGTTTGTTGGGCTCCTTCAGTCCCCCTCCGGACTGTAGCGCCAAATCAGCATTGAAGAGGCTGCCTGGGCTTCTCCTTGGGGAACTGACGCAGCAGGAGGACTCCAGCCACGCTTGGGTGGTGATGGCCAGCCTCTGGGAGCCCTTGTTCAAGATCACACCACGAACTGTGGCTTCCCAGAGGAATAAGGTGAGTGCAAACAACGCCGTGCAGCCCCAAGTATGGTGTCACCTCCCTTTCCCTGTTAGTCCAGGTCCCACGCTCCTCCCTTAGCTGCAGCCCGGCTTTGTGGTGACCGTGTGCTGGGATGGAGCCAATTCTCTCTGCTGCTACTTTATTTTTTCATTTCTGAAAAGCCTCTCTGCAGAAATTAGTGCCAGGAGGGGACCTTTCCCCCCGCTGCCAGGTGTGCCATGTTACAGCTGCCAGCCCACAACACCATCTCCAGCAGAAGCAGAGCCAGGTCAGGGCTCCAAAGCCTCCAAAATGGAGATGGGCTCTCTTCTAGATCAGCAGCTCTCAAACACAGTTCCATCAGCCCAAGAAGAGTGAAATCACATCCCCGCTTTTGGTTTACTGCTGCTTTTCACTTCCCTCTGGAACACAAATCTGCCCTAGCTAGACTGCAGGCAGGAACCACAGGGCATTCAGCCCCACTACGAGACCGAGCACATTGACAAAATTGGAGGTAACCATGAACAGGAAACCCAAATAGGCAACTCTGGAAGAGGAGCTCATTACAAATCGAGAGCTCTTCCATCAGAAATGGGCTACTCCATCCCAGGAGCAAGGCTTGCAGGGCTAAGCACTCCTCACGTGTTCCCTTTGGGCTCATGTCAGTGTTTGATCCTCTTGCTGGCACCGGGATGACATGGCAAACCCTTCCCAGTCCCCCCAGTTATCCCAGTACAACATTTTGCAGGGTTTTCCCCAACCAGAACAACGAAACTAAAATAACAAACCTTTGGAAGTCACTGAAACGCCCCCACCCCTCATCACTGAGCTGTGATGAGTGGCGAGCATGGCCCCTGGAGGCCAAGTGGGAGGCAGCAAGGCTCACTTTTCCTGCCGGAGCAGCCCAGCCGTCAGCACGAGGCACACGCTCAGAGGCAGAGGCTCTGCCTTGCCAGGCAGACATTGCCGACTTTCCACTAAGTCGCTGCTGAGGGTGATAAAAATGAGCTCGCTGCTCTTGCACTGCTATATCTGCGCCTTTGCTGATGTGAATTTCTGACCTCGGGTCTCGACTGGTGCCAAGCCAAGCACGAAGATGGACAAGGCAGCAGCTACCGGCTCGATCCGCGGTGACGCTCAGGGCCGAGAGCCCAAGGCATCCTTTTGAATCGGGAAGCCTTTGTTTCTATGATTTGTTTCCTTCCCGTTTCATTTCTAAATGGCTCCTGTTTGCCTGCAACCGCCTCGGCGATAGTTCACGTACAGTAACACGCCAACCTACCGCAGAATGTCTCGGGGAGAGATATTTCACTCAGCTCAGCAGCCCTTGCAGGGAAGCGCCTGCCGTCGGAGGCGTATGCTCGTCACCCGCTGATGCATGGGGCTGTCTGAGCACAGACTGGCTCAGCGCGCTCCCCGCGAGAGGCAGATTTTATCAGCGTTACTGTTGCGGCACTTCTTTAAAAACCGATGTGGGATCTCATCTTTCTGGGAGCACGCGCGTGCGATTTACAACCTCGCAGCCAGCAGCACAGCAACGCAGATTACTCAATTCATCATTTCCCGGGAAGGGAAGGCAGCTGCTGAGGCACGAGGAAGTTTCAGTTGGGTGAGACCTGGTCATTATCTACTGAAGTAACGGCTTCAGGAAACATACCCTGCTTCCTAAACTTCAGCTGGAAACAAGACTGCATCCCCCAAACTGGAGCTCCCATCCCGCCCTTAGCGCCATGCAACCAAGACCCACCATTGGAAGCAGTCCCAGCACTAATTCCACTCTAAAATGCTCGTGAGACACACAGATAAATAGCGAGTCTCTAAGCCTCACCCTCCTGAGTTTAGGGACACGGCACTGGGGCCAAACTACCATGCTCCAAAACAGAAACTCTCCTCTCCTCCATCATGTGGCTTTTTAGTGTCCCCCTAACCCATTTTTTTTCCCAGTAGGTATCTTATTGCTGCCACTGATGATGACAAAACAGCCTAACGCATTTCAAACTGCATTTCAAACTGCTTCTCCTTTTGCTATTCTGATTAACCAGCAGCACAACGAAGGGAAGTGTTTTCTAGTTATATACTACCTCTCTGAGACACCTGGCCACAGGCCTCTGATCCAGGCAGAGATGGCTGATACCTAGATTGAGCTGTGAACATCTGCTCTTCGCTGCTGAGAGCTGAGGAAACTTCTACTTGATTCCACTGAGTTCAAGTCTTCTAAGTTAAGCTTGAGAAGGTGCCACTTCTGGTTCATCAACCGGACACTACGCTGTGTGCAAAGAACACTGCAAACAAAATTAACATCGAAGTTAATTCAAAGTTGTTGTCTCCCAGCCTCTGCACCCTACGCTGATTTCATCCTTGGAGTATCCCAACCCACAGGTGTCCCATTTTCTCCAGGAGTTTCCAGGGGTTCTGCATGCAGAGGGTGCCAGAAGCACAAACACAGCTCTGTGACAGCCACCAGTACAAGATGTTATGTATGACCTTGCTCAGCACTGCAGAAAATCTGCCCTCCCTTCCTGAGAGAAGTGGCTTCACCACAAAGCGACACCACCTTCACAACATCCAGCACTCTGATTTTCTAATATATAACTTCTCTCTCACTTATACAGCTGAAGAAAACTATCACACACCTCTCCCTGGGCTTGTAGCCATAAGGTGGAGGCTTGTGCTCCCATCCTGCCAGCCCCCAGCACCAGGTCCAAAGAGGCTCCATGAATTCTGCAAAGCAACATGAAGGAGGAAATAAAAATGCTTCAGTGCCTTTGCAGCTCAGCAGATGGCATGAAAGATGTGGGGTTAATTAGGCTACATGTCCTCAGAGATGTGTCACTGGGCTGGGTCTCCCTTCTCCCAACAAAATATTATAAAACCACTGGGGCTGTTTCTTCACCAAACACACACTCTCTTACAGGAGATCCTCAGCAGTTCCCACTGGGGGAAGGTGATTTCTTCTGTTTGACACAGGATCACTTTTTCTACTTTCTAAAGTTCACCGAGCTGGTGGGCACCAGGAACTCCAGGTTACAATGTGGAAGGTTACAGGTGGGAGGGAGGGGAAAAAAGGATAAGAAATCACAACTAGTACAACTCTGTCCTTACCTTTCAGCATATGAGCCCAGAGCTTAATAAAGCCATAATGAATATATTCTTGGCTACATGTGCTTTTCCAGCAGCCTTTGCAGCTCTTGTGTAAGAACGACAGCTCTGTCTCTTGGGGCATAGCTCAGTCCCTGGGCCATTAACAAAGACCTTGAAAGGGCTCCTTCTCTTTTCCTTTTTTTTCCTAGTGTTGAAGAATTCAGAGACTCTGTGGGAGTGGGAGGAAGGAGAGCATCTTGCTTTGCTGGTTTTTAGACTTCAGCTCTTCAGAGGTGGTTCACACAGCATTGCCAACGTTCAGCTTGCAGGCTTGGGGCTTAGAATGAAGGCCACAAGCCACTGGTTTGTTTCAGGGAAGGCTCATGTCTGTCCCTGGCTTCCAAAGTGGGTAAGTCTTTCCTTTCTACATCCCATCTTTCTGCCTGGCAGGACAAGGAAGAGCTGACCCTACAACTGTGTTCTCAGGTAGGATGCAAGTTTGCACCCATCCATGCCTCTGGGGCTTTGGGTTTGCCTCACTTACGCTACAATATCACATTCCCTTGGCTCCCGAAACAGGGGCTGATGCACGAGACTCACAACCCACAGGCAGGGTTTGGTTAGATTTGTTGACTGAAAGCACAATAGCAGTTTAAAGGTGTAGGGCATATAACTATGAAAAGCAAAATATTTTAAGGAAATACATTGCAAGAGTTAATACCCAACATTCATAATGAATTCCTGCAAATAAAGCAGAATATGGTCTAAAAATGCTTGCTGCAAGAACTTGTAATAAAATAATGACAAGATAAAACCGCAGCTATTTTTATTAGAAAATATTATTGAGTTCTTATGAGGACAGTGTCTAGCAGCTTCAGCTGGGGCAGGACTCAATTACGAAGGAAAGAACATTACGCCTCAAGGTATCTACATGCCTAATTCCCACTCCATCCAGTATCTTCAAAGATACAGCCACAACGGCCTTGCCAGGGAAAGCCTGCTGTCCAGTCCTGCAGAAAACACGGGACCAGGGCTACACACCTTCTGTAGCACAAGGGTGACAGCTTCCTTCAGCCCTGTGGCTCCCCAGGCACTGCCTGGTGCTGCCTTTCAGTATTCAGGACTACGCTGCAGGGTGGCAACCCGGGGTGGCAGTTAATGTGATGGGCAAAGGCATAATGCTGGAGGACATTAGAAGGCAAATCATAAAGATAATTTAAAAGAAATTACTGTACAGCTTTACAATAAAAATGAGCATATAAAAGAGGTTCAGAAGAGCTCGCTGCTTCATTCTAAAGCAAGTCTGGAAATTAGCTAGAATTTATCAGACAGCTTTTGGATCAGAGACGCAATAAATGCTGATGTAGTTGTTACAGAAGGTCTCTGATCTATTGTTCAGAATAGAAAATATAAACTTATCTACAGTTTATCTTTTCCCTTGGGTTGCTTTTTTCATTGCTTTTCTCTTTGCTCCAGACAATTAAATGATGCTATCTTTAGTGCCCACTTGATACAGATACCCCCAGCCAGAGTGGTGTTAGTCTGAATTGTGTAAAATAAGCTAGTATATAGATGCCCCATATATGTTATGTATAGATGCCCCACAGTGCTAGCAAGCACGGGTCAATGACATACAAGGGTGACACAAATTGCCCTTAAACAGTCTTAACTATGTGGGGGAGGAAGGCTGGGGTAGGAGGAAAAGTGTGCAAATGGTCAGGAAAGAAACATTATCACTTTCCCCAACAAGTCATGTATCCCATCCCTAGCAGCTCATGATCTGCTTGCTCTTCTCTTAAGCTGAAGCTCTGTCTTTTGTGGGATGGGAATTAATCTCTACCTATTTACTAGGCAATATTAAAAAAAAAGAAAGAAAAAAAAGTGAGCTCCACTTTCTTTTTACAGCCAAAAAAGCTAGGAAAAAGAAGATCCAGGGTGAGATTTTTCCACCAGTTCTCATTACTGTCATCCCTCTGCTCTTGATAGCAAAGGGCCAACTGATCCCTGACCTGCGCAGGGATGCTCCTGCTGCCCGTCAGTGCCTGTGTGGCTGTGAACATTAATTTTGGCCAAGGAGGCTGTTTCAGCTCCTATAGACTAAATGAGTTGATGACTTTAATATTCACATGAAAAGAGCCACCCTTTAATTTCAAGGCCCTGCCAAAGATGCTTTGTGGCAGTTAAGTGTGCAGGAATTGCTCCAGGCAGGAGCATCCCCTTGCCAGGACCCAGACTGACATTTCGGGGAACCAAGGTTTGTAGATACACCTAGACCTTCACTCATGGCATCTGGCACACGGGGACAGATCAGGGGTATGTCTTAGCCCCTGTTAACCCTAGACTTTCTTCTAAAGCTCACTGCTCCAGAGAAAGGTGACATTTCTCCATATACTGGCTCCAGGCATCTGTGCATAGCCACGCTGGCCCAGGGACAGTGGGAATAAAGCCATGCGGAGCCTGCCACCAGTCATCTTATATCCTAATGCATGAAGTTTAATTACCATTGTCATTAGCACAGTTTGCTTCAAAAGTAGTATTTAACAGACACCATCATACAAGTTCATTATCTCCTGGCTAGATGGAAACATAAGAGATTAATTTGGTAGAAATTATTTTTTTAAAAGCACAAAATAAAACACGATACAACCATTACCCAGGGGGTGAAGCTAAATGCAGCCCTGCATTTCAAAAGGTGCTTTTGGAAGAAATGTTTAAACACAGATTTCTTTTATCCCGCTCTTAAAAACGGGAAATTGCAAGGGTTTTGAAAAACACAGAAGCACGAATATTCATCACACAGATGAACATTTCTCCGATAACAAACCTCTGTGGATGCTTTCATCCCAAGCAGTGTGTTTTGTGGTACCTTTAAATATGGAAAGCATTGCTCCTTTACTCTCCCGACTTGCACAATCTGCCAGTGGCCCCAGGTCCCCAGTACTCATTTCCCGTGGCAGTAGTTAGTGCTTCGACTGCACCACCAAGAATGAAAAATGAAAAAATAAACTGGATTTGCCAGGGCTGCTTGTGCCAAACAAGAAGAACAGGAAAGACGAAGGGAAGGGAAAACCCTTACTGACCTTTCTCCATTGCCAGGATGCTTGCTGGGGGAGAAAGGAGCCAAGACATCTCTTTTTATTTCCTCGAGATGAAGTTTTAAGGGGCAGGCTGAAAGCTTGTGCTGGTGCCAGACTCTGCATGGACAGGGGCTCTGTGCTACTGCCGGGTCGGATTCACTTCTGTGCTGCCTTGCCAATGCCCTCAGCATTTCCTCCCTCCACAGACAGACCCAAACCACATGAGATGGAGTCAAATTAAATTACCATGTGGTTTCTTTGGTTTGCACAGACGGTCTGTGGGATGGGAATAAAACAGGCCCATGGAGTCCCCCAGACGTCAAACCAGCGGGGAGCCCAAAGGCAGCAGGGCCCCTGCAGCCTTGATATAGAGCCCATGGCAAAAGCCTGGTCCCTGGGAGCCATGGGGCGTGGGAAGGAGGAGTGGGCATACAAAGAGAAGAGGGGCAGATTCTCAACAGGACAAACCCACCTTGCTGCACTCTCCAAGTCCAATTGCATCAGCTGGACATCAATCCTGCAGTCCAAAAACCACTTACAAGTGCATCGAAAAATTCTCTTTGCTTTCTGAAGACGCTCCATCCCACTCCACAAACGTACATCTCCATTTCCACTCCCTCTCCCCTTCTAACCTCCCCTCATTAAGAGTTTTTTAAATGCATCCCACGGTGCCAAAACTTAAAAAAAAGAAAAGAAAAATCCCTCTCTCCCCTGCTCCAAAGAGCAATTAAATCCCATTACCCTTCAGCTGGCCCACTCAGGCACGACGGTCACTGACAGCCTGTGAAACTGTCACCGAGCTATCAGCAGCACGGTGGCTCCAAGCTGCAGTTGCTGAGCCACCAGCATGGCTCGGGGAAGCCTCGTTCAAGGATTTGCTTCATGTTCGCTCCGTACATGCATGGAGCTGTCTGCTGGGATTGGCACGGCTGTCTTCTCACTGCAGACGGGAGCAAAAAGCACACATGTGAGCACCTAACACCCAGGGGAAGCACAGGCTTACAATTACAGAGCTATCTCTGGAAGCAAAAACCAACCAACCAACCAAGCAAACAACATGGCAAACAGTGAAACACAACAGCAAGGCTGTGAGCTGTCAGAAGCTGGCTGCATGGGTGGCAATGCCATGAAACGTCCTGCTTTGCCTCTGCTCGAGTTACTGAGGCATTGCTTACCCTGCTTGTTTTACAGCTAAGACTGGGGTAATGTACTGAATTCCCTTTGACTCTTCTTGCTAGCATTTGGAGGGATTTTCAGCAGGTGCTATAGACATGATATGATTAGCAGAGACTTAGCAGCATTTCGCTGTGCCTCAGTGTTCCTAGAGGTCAAGAAGAAAGACTTGTAATAAAGACAAACCCACCTGCATGATGCATATGACAGAAAATAATGAAAACTGGATCTTAGTCAGCCAGAAAATTACCCAAAGGAAAAGGAGGGCTAAGGGTTCAGAGAATAGCCCCCAGCAGACCAATCTCAGCTGATCTATTCATGCCTTGGGCTCAAACGTGGCTTTGCTTTGAGCTGCAAGCAAAATGAAATTCAAAAAAATAATAATCCTCTCTTCAGGAGTGCCTAAGAAGAAAGCAAAGAAGCCACCTGGAGCATCAAGTCTGTTCCACCTTGTTTCAGGCCAGCTCCAGAAAAGGTATCGTGCTACCTCAGAAGCCAGGCCAGCTTGTCCAAGGGCACATTCCAGGGGCACACCCAGAAAAGACCTCATCCCTTCCCAGCTGGGCCCTTGGATCAGAGAATTTGAAGTTTATATTCCCTCTGCACTGTTTGCTGGTCCCTATGTGCAACTCAGTAAATAGCACAGTGAAGACAGGCATCACTTCTCTAAAATCTGCGGCCCTTACGATATACCAAGCTACATATCAAACAGTGACATCTTAAAATCACAAGTGTCTTCTGAAAGTGTTGGCTTCTATTTTTGGAAGGCAATTCCTTCCCTTGGAGCATCTTGTTTAAAAAAAAAATAACAGTTTTTCCTTCCTTCCATTGGTATTTGTGATAGAATGATTGCAAGGTCTCTGTTACTCTGTATTCAGTGTGCTAATCCCCTTGGAGATAATGTGTTGCAGTCACCACAAAACCAGGCACTTAATGAGATGATGGAAAATAGGAACTAGGTGAAATGCCTAACCTCTGGCTATTTGGGATTACTGACTCCAGAGGACAAGTTGAATTATTTTTCTATTATGTTTATTCTTACATCTACACAAGCTTTTTATACTAGCTTCCAAATTACATAAGCAGTGTGTTTCACTTCACAGAACTACACTTACTGCCACAGCTGAGACCACAGGTCAATGTGGCTGAAAATAAAAGCATCAAAACCCAAACTCACCCAGCACATCTGTGCTTCCTGGCTGGGAACCTTTCCTTCCTTGAATTCCTCCTCTGCATTAAGTTCACATGGTGGCAGGGAGTTGGCAGACAAATGCCCACTCCTGAAGGAGTTCAACATTCCCGTATTCTCCATGCTGATGTTTTCCCTGGTGGGAGTGACTGTGGCTGCCCTAGAGGGGAACAGCCAGCTCCTCCGCAGCCCTCAAGAGTCCTGGTTTCATGCTGCAGGAAGCATCCAGTGCCTGCCAACAGAAGAGAAGTTGCTGGCACCAGCAGAAGCAGATGGGAACCAAATCTAGTAACAGGGCAACAGCTCTGGGCCTGCAAGACAAGGTCTCCTGTCCTGAAGCCCTCACTGACATGCTGTGGTCTACAGAGTAGAAGATGTTTCTCCAACCTCCTTAACACGAGATGACAAAAGCAAAATATAAATATGAAAGGAAATGGTCTCAAAACTAGAAGTTTTTTAGGGGAAACACAAGTAAAGGAGTCTCCACCTCAAGCTTAGGCTGGCTGAGTCGAAAGCAGAAGAGAGGCAAAGATTTTCTTTAAGGATTTCCCCTGGTCAGTCAGGACTTTCTGGGGTTGCTCTTCTCCTGGGAAGACTCCACTTTTCAGGCTCCCAGAAGAGCCAGAAGCCCACGCAGCAGCTGTGTCAGCCCTCCACAAGGCAGGCCATGACCCACGGGACATCCCAGGCTCCGGATGTTCACCCACCCCACAGCTTGCCTTTTACATGAGAGAACCACCAGCAGCTCTATAAGCACTACATCTCAAGACATAAATAAGAACCTAAAGCAACCACGCCAATTTCCCCATTAAATTCATATTGCCACCATGAGGCTGAAATGAAGGCCTGGGTCTGAATGTATTGTTGACAGGAATCCATTTCCAGAGGCATCAATTATTTACGGCTGCAATAAATCATTTACATAGTGCTGTAAATTCCAAACAGGGCTGAACAAACACAAGGCTTCATCATCACCCGTTTCTCTTACAGCCAGGGCTGGGCTGGGAAGAGGTGCCTATCTTAACCAGGATTTATTGGAGGTGTTGTACTCAGGGCTTTGTACTCTGACTATGGTAAGACGTAAAACTTTATAAAATAAAGGGTAAATTAAGGTTAAACCTCGTTCCAGCAGTTCCAGGACTGCTGTGTTAACTGGTAGCAACATGTGAAGTTGGTTTGTTACAGCCAGCCTGGGGATGGCTGGAAGAGGACCAGGTAGGGTTATTCTGCCATAGAGCCATGTGAGTGCAGAACAGGATCTGAAAACACTGAAAATTTTTGGAAAGCACTGCCCAGCATCTTCCACCCTAACCTGGGGAGTCACTGCACAGAGCTGTGACTGTGCCCAAGTCACCTGGGTAGGGACAGCCTCCACCAGGGGCATCCATCCACCAACATTAGGGCTCAGAAGTTCTCCTTCCTCCACTTCTATCTGAAATTTGGGCAGCTGCTGGGAACAAAGCCATGTGAGGGTTTCACAAGGCATGCAGTAAGTAATCTGCTAACCAGGGGGGAGCTTCTGCCCAGCATGATGGGAATCCCAGAGCGAGATGCTGTAGCCTCGCTAACCCGAGGTCGGATCCTGCTCACACTGCTCAGGAGCTCGCTGGCCGGAATCTGATCCAACCAGGGGGACCCACTGCCGGGAGCAACCTTTGCAGTATAAAAATCAATCCCCTGGGTTTCGGGAGCTTCTGCAACTTGGCTGCTATCCTGCAACCCCCTTCCTTATAAATAAATAACTAAAGCAACAGATAGATGACGCTGACACAGGAGAGCAGCAAAATCAGTGCGCCTGTTTAAATCATTTGCTGTTGGGGATATATTTTCTCTGCCAGCCTGTTACTCGGAGCCCTGTGGTTCACTTTCCCTCTTTTTTTTCTGGACCAGAAACCTGCTGCTGTTTCTCTGCGAGCCCGAGTGCTGCCGACTCCTTTGTCTGAGCCAGCTGCTATTAGTCATTTGGGGCTAATTCCTGCCAGGGTTTTATTCACTGCAAGACCCACAGAGGGATTTAAAGCCTTGCAGCAAGCCACAAAGGCCTCATTGATCATTTAGCCAAACCTAGGGCTCTCTGTCACCTACCTGCATCAGCTGAGGGACTCAAGCAAGACGAAGGGTGACGTGACACTGCGGTGGATCCAGCCTTGTGGCAACGAGATCAGAGCCCGACCCTCAGGTCTGAGAGGCCATCTGGCCCACGAAGGAGCCATGGGCTTGATTTCTCTTCACATGGGCATTACTGGAAATGCAACAAAGCAGAAAGAGGACATTTGGAAGCAATGCAAGCTGTGATCCAATGTCACAAGGCTTGGCATTGACACCCACACCACCGAGCCAGCAGTGCTTTTCCCACACAGACTTACCTTGAAAACATCCCCAGCATGCTGGCAGTGACTCGGAGAGACACACTGAAATATTCTGGACCATTGTGTATGCCATATATCATGTTTCAGTGCAATTTTAAGAACTGCAGCATCAGCCACATCTCCACAGAATATTAAAGATATAAAAGAATTTATAAATATTTCACATTAAAATTCATTGGTGACAGTTTGCGAGCCTCCTGCTGCAGCCTAAAGCAGTCGATAGGTGATTCACTTTGCTCAGTTTGGGGGAACGTTTGTCTGGTCATGTCATTTCCAGATTACCCATGTGTTGTGGGCAGTAATGGTCACCCCCAGGGGCACAGGCATGGCACACGGCACAGTACTAATGGAGCGCTAAGAAACAAACGTGAGGAAGAGCAGCAGCAGAAGAGCAGGCTCTCATGATGAACTGGTGAAGACATCAAGATGTGATTTTCCTTTGTCCCTCTCACTGCCTAACTGGAAAGCTCTGCCGTGTGTTACTTCCAGCCAGGCTGTCAGTTCTGGTTGTACCATGGTTCCTGTGGTCCCTCTGCCAAAACAGAGAGCCTTGGGCCATGCATCCACAGGCTGAGGCAAGGAGCTCCACCTCGTCCACGTGCTTCCTGCTGAAACGAGCAATCTGTGCTCTTCTAGCAAGGACAACAAGCACTGTCTGCAACAGGCCTGGGGTTTCCCACAAAAAAAAAGGTAGCAAAGAAGTTATTCTCACCAGAAAAGGACAGAAGGATAATGAACTTTGTCTGATTGACATGAAGGCATTTGAAAGACATTTTGGGTTCTCCCCGCTTCCTTTCTGTTCGGCTTTATCTGAGAGCTTGCCTTTGCACTTTCTAAGCAGGGACACTTAGTGACTTGAGAGGGGAAAAAATGCCCAATTTGCTTTGCTTCTCTAGAACCAAAATAACATCTAAACACACCAATATTCCTCTGAGAGGCACTTCACTTTCTGCATGTCCATGATTATGTGTCTGTATCTCTATACATGCATTTTCTTTCTTAGAAAATATTTGTATCACTGTTTGCAAGCAGACAAAAGGCCACTGTGACTATTCTAAAACCAGCCAAATGTCATTTACCTGTGCAAGGATGGCATTGGACCAGTACCAGCACACCCAGCACTGCTCGTGGGAAGGCACTGCCCTTGCTCAGCCTTTTCTGGCCCTCCTCCTTCAATTGTCCTGGCTGTGCATGAAAGTTACAGAATTAAATTCTTGCACCTCTTTTGATATTTTGGCTAATTATCACTACTTTCTGGGTGACCTGAGATCACACGGGTTTCAGCAGAAGTCCCGGGAGTATTTCACCTCCCTTCTGAAGCAGCCAAAATCTACAGGCGAGGAATTTGGCAGTCATCTTAAAAGCGAGCAGTGCATTCCCATGGCAAAAGTAAGCCCGCAGTCCATGCAAACAACACCATCAGATTTTGGGGTATGCTTCCTGTTTGCATGCTGACTACACACAAACACTCTAATTTCCACAACCCACCCCTGAAATCATGTCCCTTCAAGCATGTGAGGAAGTCTGAAAGTACAGAACGTTTTTTTCTGTTCAGGTCGTTCAGTGGGAACCCCAAAAGGGGAAAGAAGGAAACCAATGTTCTTGCCCAGAGATTGGGAATTTTCCAGTTGGGGCTTTTGTGGCTCCCACCCATCTGCACTAGGACAATAGTGGGGCCACGTCTGGCTCTGTGGCAAACTCACATGCAATTGGCAGAAAGGGGGAAGAGATATAATTGTGTTTCTCCAGGGAAAGTGGTCATTAGGAGGGTATTATCTGGATGGTGGTTACATAAATCGTGGCTGAATGGGCTCTATTTACGATAAGAAAAACTGCCAGAAAGTGATCAGAACATATGCGATCTGATGAAAAGGCTGCACTTGAGCAACACGAAAAGCCAATAATCTGTGAGGAAGTGGCTGTTGGATAGCTAGGAATTGTAAGCGTAAGCAGGGACACTGCTGGGGGAGGGATTTCAAGCTCATCAGACCACCAGCTTCAAAATTTCTCAGTAGTCCCAAGCCTCTTCTGAACCTTGGAGTGACAGAGAGAGAAGGCTGCTGCAGCCTAGGGGCCAGGCTCTGACCTGCTCTGTACTTTCTCCAAATCCTCAGTGTTTATAGCAGTGCATCTCTTGCTGTTTGGTAAATAACCTTTATTGTAGAGGTAAAGTCCTATCCTCACACGTTCACTATCGTGGAGGTCGCACACGCTTGGAAGAAGAAATCCATCCCATTACACCACAGTTTGCCCCGCTAGGCCAACGTCAATCGTGACATCTCTGTAATAACTCCTAGCAGCCCCAAGATTCAGGCTCTCAATATCTCTCCTCCACTTGTAGCCTCAAAGCACTGCACCAACCCCAGTCAAATTCCTCTTTCATATCTCGCTGAAAACGATTGTGAATGACTGCAAGCTACACTCAGGAGGTTTTATCTTAGATACCTGCCTTCACTGCACACATCCTAGCATGGCTTCAACAGTATTATTTTTCCTTAAGACAATACTTTCTAGAAAGAGGCATGATATTTTTAGCACTATCACTGTGAATTTGCAGGCACAGGCTGGGTTATAAAGAATCTGGCCTACTAGAAGAGCTCAGCTCAGTTTGACAGGTGTGAGACCTTATGGGGAGAATTCTACTGAGGTTTTAAGCAGTTCAGTGAAGTCAGACACATACTTGGGTGCCAAGGTTTCTAGGATTATGGACTATAAATCACCAACTTACTACACATACATGAACCTCATAGAGCAGCACAACCTCCTCTAGGCAAAGGACAAGCTCCCTCTGAGGTTTTGCCATGCAGACTTTTTCCTTCTCCTCCCTTGCTGTCAACAGTGCTGAAAACCACAAGATACAGTACAGCATACTCCGTGGACATGCAACGTCCACTTTCCCACAAGGTATCTACATTTTTGGATGTTTAGTCTCAATCTTTTCCTTCTCTCAAATGTAAAGTCTGACAAACCCTTTCTCTGCAGATCACCGAGTCTTACTGCACATCCTACATAACGGCCACCTGCAATTTTACACACAGCATACAGAGGGAGATGGAGTTGCACTTGTATGAGTCTCATTCATTCAGCTTGATAAGTCCTTGATCTTCCCATGCAGATGTTAACACATATGGCCACTATCCTCTCGTGCTCATCCCACAAGCAAAACCAACTTGCTTGTAACTTCAAGGTTTAGAGTACTTCCAGGGCGACAGACCTAACCCTAATTCCCCTTCTTGTTATTTTCCTTCTCTGTTCAGCTAGACAAATGACCACTGCACTCTCTGAACTGAAAAAAGAAGCACAACTGTCCATTTGGAAACAAGCATCTGATTTGTGAGGAATGGAGACAGTTCTACTGGATTTATTTTTTTTTATGAATTGTTCTCACAAATAAATAACTTCCAGCTGCCCTACAAATGCACAGGGTTGTACTTACTCCATATTTAGATAGGTGACCTTTAAGAAAAGATGGAGTACCAATGATTCAATGAAGTGTCTCCTTCCCTTTCAGAGTTAATGACGAACAATAGCCCGTTCCGCAGTTGACTGGAGGAAAGAGGTTGGTTTTGGTACAGTGGCAGCGAGATGGTCCAGCTGTTCTACTTATTTGTACTGTTTGAGGATCTGATGCTAAAGCGCTAGGACAAAAGAAATAATTTTAATAAAGCTGTTGAAGATTCTCTTTAATTTGTCAGCTTTCGAAATAGTCCATCTTGCAGCACTCTTACTAAGAGATTTGAGAACTTTTCTGCTGCGTTTGTAAAACCAAAAACATTTTCCAGACCACTTTCTGAAGTTTAATGAGAACAGCAATTTCTTTTCAAAATAAGAGTAGTCACATGCAATCTCTAAGATGTTGCCAAAACTAGACACACAAAAAAGCCCTCACAACACAAATCCTATCGATCAGCCACTTGAACACTGCAGAAGCGTTTCTGGTGAAAATCTGCTTAGCATAATTACACCCTAAGCAAACTTCCTCACAAGCTCAACCAGAAATTGGGTGCTGCCTGTCCTGTCTTAGCACAGGGATGTTTGGTAGCATGGCCACATCTTTACCTGGATGAGTACCTCATTCGTGCTCCGTGCTTCACAGCAAAGTACACTGAGCACCTACTGCACCATTCATGAATGCACTATGTTCCCATGACAGCCTAAAGCCACTGCTTACATCCTAAAATATTAGGACATACGTGTATAGACATATGTATATATGTATAGGTATATATGTTCCTGCTTCTTTTCCCAGATGCAAACAGTGAAAGGAGGGTCAGGTCAGGGAGAGAAGAAGAGGAGCTGGAAATCTGTTTGATCCCTTCATATCTGGGGACATCTCCCTCCGAGATCTCTATCAAACCCAAAGAAATTAATGGAAAATCTTCCACAGAGATTTACTGGGCTTCAGGTCAGAAACTGCATCCCCAGTACAGATACTCACAGATGCATTCTGCAGCAGAACAGGGAACACCTGCTTTTTCCTCTTTATCAGGGAGGAGCAGAGATGAAAAGACAGATCTGAATGGGATTAAGAATCCCAAAATAGCTTTTGATACAAATTAAGATTTACAAAAGTATGCAACTTCCACCGATCTGCATCTTTCGATACCTCATTTCTTTAAAATCGTGGTCCTAGGTGACTACTGCCCCGAGTGCTACCTGCTCCCGCAGCGCTTTTCCCTGGCCAGCTGACAGAAGCGCAGGACTGCCTTGGCCAAGGCAGCAGCAGGGAGCTGCTCCGTGGCCACAGCTCATCCCTAAGCACCATGCGGGGGCACTGGGTGAATTGTCAGCCTGCGACGGGCTTGCAGAGATGCCACCGAGGATGTCACTTGCCTGCAAGACATTTACTACCAGAGATTAGGAATAAAGAGTA